AAGAAAGTATAACATGGAGAGAATTGAACACGCTCTGAAAAACCGAGGAAGCGTCAAATCAGTGAAGAGGAAACTTGGGATAGGCAAAATAACTACCAATATGGATAGGATAGTTAAAATAGCAGAGGAGTTTTACAGAGATCTGTACAGTAGCCGGGACAACCACGACTTTAATACTATAATAACTAGCAGTAACCCAGATGACACCCCACCAGTAATGATAGAAGTCAGAAAAGCTTTGCAGAGCATGCAAAGAGGCAAAGCTGCTGGTGAGGATCAGGTAACATCAGATCTGCTGAAAGATGGAGGACAGATTGTGTTAGGAAAACTAGCCACCCTGTTTACGAGGTGTCTCCTGACGGGAAGAGTATACAAGCTATTTACAAAGGTAATTGTAGTATACAAGCTATTTACAAAGGTAATTGCTAACAGAGTAAAGAAAACATAAGAATTCAATCAACCAAAGGAACAAGTAGGATTTCGAACAGGCTACTCAACAATCGACCACATTAATACTATCAATCAGGTAATAGAGAAATGCTCAGAATATAACCAACCACTATACATAGCCTTCATAGATTATGAGAAGGCGTTTGATTCAGTAGAAATATCAGCCGTCATGCAGACACTGTGGAATCAGGGCGTCGATGAAGTATATATAAACATCCTGAAAGAAATCTACAGGGGATCAACTGCTACCATAGTGCTTCATAAAGAAAGCAACAGAATACCAATCAAGAAGGGTGTAAGGCAGGGGGACACAATCTCCCCAATGCTATTTACCGCGTGCTTACAGGAGGTTTTCAGATGCCTAGAATGGGAACAGTTAGGGATAAGAGTTAATGGAGAGTACCTTAGTAACCTGCACTTCGCCAATGACATTGCATTGCTGAGTAACTCAGGGGACGAATTCCAACTCATGATTACGGGGTTAGACAAGGAGAGCAGAAAGGTGGGTCTGAAAATGAATCTGCAGAAAACGACAGTAATGTACAACAACCTCAGAAAAGAGCAGCGCTTCGAGATAGGTAATAGTGCACTTCAAGTTCTAAAAGACGATGTCTACTTAGGGCAGGTAATAACCGCAGAGCCGAACCATGAGATTGAAGTAACAACAAGAATAAGAATGGGGTGGAGCAAATTTGGCAAGCACTCTCAAATTATGAGAGGTAGATTGCCACTATCCCTCAAGAGGAAGGTATATAACAGCTGTATCTTGCCGGTGCTTAGCTACGGAGCAGAAACCTGGAGACTTACAAAGAGGGTTCAAGTTAAATTAAGGACGACGCAGCAAGCAATGGAAAGAAAAATGGTAGGTGTAACCTTAAAAGACAAGAAGAGAGCAGAGTCGATTAGGGAACAAATGGGGGTTAAGGATATCATAGCTGAAATCAAGAAGAAGAAATGGACATGGGCCTGGTCATGTAGCACGTAGACAGGATCACCGCTGGTCGTTAAGGGTAACTAACTGGATTCCAGAGAAGGCAAGCGGGTTAGGGGGAGACAGAAGGTTAGGTGGGCAGATGAGATTAAGAAGTTTGCGGGTATAAATTGGCAGCAGCAAGCACAGGACCGGGTTAACTGGCAGAACATGGGAGAGGCCTTTGTTCTGCAGTGGACGTAGTCAGGCCGATGATGATGATGATAAGTCTGACAGCAGACACTTTCTCAAATAAATTAACAGACACCCTCAGTCAAAAGGAAGCAACAAGACACTATCAATCATGCCGTGTGATTAGAACAGCAAGGCATAAATCAAAGGCACTACACTTCCCCCTAATGCAAGGTACAGTGTTTTCCCAATAAGGCATGGCCCATATGGCCTCGGTAGAAGACATCGGTGTTGGGTATTGCAGCAGAGCTGTGATGGTTGATGTCTGCCATACACTGTTGAGACACAACGATGATTATCATGAACTGGCAAGCACCGATTTACCCCCCAAGCACTCGGTACATGTGGTAACGTGAGAAGCTGCGACATTCGCCCATATTTAATGTTTGCCACCAATATGTTCTCCTGTTAATTTCTAGTAGAGTAGCATGGTTTGCTCTGACGGCCATGCGCAGAGCTCAAGTCAAAGTGCATAGAGTGTATAGTATAGCATAGCACGGGGTGGAAAAGAGACAGGTGAGAGGGTAAAAGCCCAGCCAAGCCAGAACCCGCCAGCTGCCCACCAGCTCTGCTGTGATCCAGCCTAGTATACCTTAGTGCAAGCAGTGCTAATTTTTTAATTCATGCTGAATCCAGGTTGACCAGCTTTCTTCTGTACCAATTAAAATATTATTTTTTATCTGTGCAAGTTAATACTGGGTGACTGACTATTGAAACAGTTAACGCTGAAAGTTGGTCTAGTTGGTTCTGACAAGAATAAGACAGCAAAATAAAGTTACTCTAGAAAAGGTAGCATATACAGTAACTCCAGGACGAAGTGACAGCAAGCGTCCTCTGTGTATCTTTCTTTGTCCCTGTCTTATTCTTGATGGTAAATTGTATTCAGGACTATTGAAACTTTATGCTGGCAGTGGTGCTGCTGCAAAACACCATATACCACGGCTCACTGCTGTGTTTGTATACTGCAAAGCTATCACCATGGAGGAAAGGAGAGCAAATTATATTTGCCTGCATGCTGTTTGTGTACCCAAGGTCTGCCTGACCACCTGTGTTCTCTGTCTACCCTGTACAAAAGCGTGTTTCGCTCAACAGTGTGCACACCACAGCACTTGACCGCTTGGCTTGACCCATGACCGTCCAATACTGAATGTATGTACTGAGCTAACATATGCAGGAGTTCTGCTGTAATTCATCACATGCTGCGAACTTTGTGGTGACAGTGTGAGTGCTTGAATGTCTTTTAGATCCTCATGGCGTGCAAGTTACTACAGGTTGCACCAATGAAAATTGCACAAGCTCCCAGAACTGCCAAGAGGCCTCAGCAACAAGTACATAGAACAGCTACCTCGAGCCTAGGTGGAAAGTGAGGGCATTTAGTAAACCATCAGCAAAGTTGCATTCTCGCAAACACTGAAGCTAAGCATTAATCATTGAACACTGAATTTCAAATGCAACACATACAACATGGCAGCAACAACACTGAACGTAACATAGAACGCAGAAGCCCACCAACAAAATGATCGCTTGTTTGCCTCATCAAATCGATAAGACAAATATATTTATGGGACGATCTCGACTCTGTAATAAAGCACATGCCCAACAAACCGCTTGTCGTTTGGCAAGCACTTTTTTATACCATGTCATGTGCAAAAACTACTCATTTCCTATTTAGTACATTAAGATATCCCATTCTTCAACAAGCAAGTTAGGGTTGCAGTGATCTTCCTGCAAGGTATGTTAGAATACCAGATTGTGTAAACAACGTGCACTTGCACTTTCACAGATGCCGACCATGCATGGCAAAAATGACAGCTGCGTCATGACAAGTCCTAATGTGTACCGATGACACATAGGTTATATGCAAGCAACACTTAGCTTGCTCAGATAATTTACGGTGACATTCTAGCAAACTAATTTAATTTGTGGAATAAACAAGCACTGTTATAAAAAGTTAAAATATGCTCACGTTTCTTACATTCACGTAAAACTTTCATTGAAAACCAGTCAAGTACCAGCAGTGAGTTATCCATTTACTTGATCTACCAATTCTTGATCCAAAAGCTCGTCAATAATGCCGCTGAACACGCGTTCGACTTCTTCAAGAACACTGTTCAAGACATCACCTAAAATGTCACTCGTAATGCTGTCAACTACCGACCAAGGATCACGTGTCTCGTCCAGCGGAAGGCGCGACTTCCAAGTCGTCCGTCTTTCAACCTGTTTCCTGTACAAATCCAGTTCCGCAATTAAACTCTCCGGCACATCAAGTGACGTTGTACGTTTGAAAATCACCTTCGCATCGTCGCCGTTTCCGTCCGTGTGGTCGTCTATTTTACTCTTGATGACCGTAACTTCAGCGTCGTGTTCGTTTCCGTTCGCGTCGCAAGAAGCACGGCGGACCTCTTTTTTACCCTCGACCACTGCACCAGCCCACGTGACACGTCGACGAATGCCTTCCAACGGTCTGAACACTCTCTCTTTCCTGACGACACAAAACCTTTCATTCGGCTCCGGATTCAGCATTACCCGGAACCTGTCTCGGCGATGACTCTCCGAATTACGTTCGGGAGCTACTGCAGTCGTAACAGTCTGTGTTTGCGCGCAAACAGTCAGCACGTCGTTTGCACGACCCGTCGACGTCTCCGGAGATTTCAAGCGGGCCACACAGCCCTGAGAATCACTCTGAAGCCGCTCTAGCTCGCGGTAATAGACAGCCAGCTGGTCCGACAAGCTCCGCAAGCAGTAGGCAGGTGAAGATCCGGAAACCTTTCGTATCGGTATTCTTCGAGGTGTCGCGTGAGCTGAAACCCGTCGTTGTGCCGCTGTCGCTCCGGCTGTAGCATTGTGGGCCCGTTGTGTGCACTGAGGTTTCTCGGCGATATTGTGCTGGACGCAGTAGCGCCTCCATTCCTCCTGTTCTCTCAGTCGTAGGAGTCGGTTCTTCACCCTTTCGTGAAAGTTCTGCAGAACGGCCAATGTCTCCGAAGAAACTGAATAGCTCATTTTCAGTCGGCGCACTCTCGTAGAAAAGTAAACCTCGAGCTCGAACACATCGACGTTTTTTCTAAAGTAGTGCCTCAAGGAGCGAACGGGCACATTCGGAGAACGCGACTATTTGAATTTTTTTGTTGCCGTGGAAACACGCGCGCCAGCTGCGCCACTTTGTTTACAGGCTTGCAATCACTTGTAAAATCTTGCGTGAGCTTTAATTGCAGTGGCAGCACTAGCGGCATTAGTAGACTACATAATCATAAAACAAAATGAGCGCCTAGTATAAAAACATGAAGTACAAATTGTAAATTTAAAAATTGGTTTAAAACACTAAAAGTTCATTCGCAATTTTTTTTATATATTTCAGTGCTAAAGTCATAGCTGACGCAAGTTTCGCGTAAGCTTGATTTCACTTTCTGTTTTGTCACACAGCGCGTAGTTGTGTAGTTCCCTGCACGAGTTGTTTCGATCGTAGCTGCGCCGGGTGTACTGTGCGTAAACTCTATGCGTGTGTGCGGAAACAGAACAGAGAGCTCTTTAATGAAGCGCCTATACAAGAGGAGGAAAGTGCGCAAGATCAGTTGGTGGTAGCACTACTGTCGTAATCGGTGTCGTTTTTCCTGCTTGAGCGACAGCCATGGACAAAAACGCGAAGATACGGGACCTCCTGGCAGAGATATCGAAGTTCAACGCACAGACTGCCGGTCGGGACAAATTGTTTCGGTAAGGAATGACGCTGGCGAACATTGTGCGCAAACTTGTCGATGCGATCGAGTTAATGCATTCGCTGGTGTTATTCCAGGCTTCTGCAGTACAGTAGTCGCTTCTTGTGGTACTGGATGCAGAAAACGTCAAGTCGTAGGGACACCGTGGCCCGCCTTCAAAACCTGGAGGTGACGTTCAGCTCGGGGCGAAGGCGTGAGTTATCTTTTGCGTCATTTGGGCTAATTATAACTTAGATTCCCTGACATTGCTCCGACCTAGGAGGCATCGCTCCCGCATTGACTACCGCGCGAGACGGTTATGAAACGACCGAATGTGATAACCATTTCGCGAAATCATTTTCGATGGCGGCGTGAATGCTAGGTAGGACAGCGCACTTACTTACTTAAGCGGGAAAAAGAGCACCAGAGGTTATATTTAGTGACCTTGGGCTGTTTCGGGTTCCACTGCTAACGCGCATCGCCTGTTTGTTGCATCATCGCAAGTTCGATCTCGTTTATGCTATATGAAAGACCTTGACTTCAGATGTTTTCACACACTTTAAAGCGAGACGTCTTGACATATGCTGGCGCTATGGATTTTATACCTGTCCACAGCAGCTATTTGTGTAGTGTGCTTGTCAAGGAGACATTTGCTCCTTGCTGACGCCTTATGGCGAAGGGCACACGTTACAATAGTGGGCTTTAAATGCCCGGTTTAATTAGTTATATCAATGGCATCTCCACGGCTGCTGCCAAGTGCACCAATATAAAGGCTCCTCCCCCTTCAACTCTACCCGTAAAAGATTCCAAAGAATGAGCGAATGTTCTGTAGGCTCTCTGTCTGTTGTAGAATTTACTCAGATGAGGCCGCTATATGTTTTTTTCAAGACTACTGTGTATTCCAACTTGGTTGTGAATAAGCAATGATACTCAATTTTGCAGAAACAATTTTTTTTCCACTGACAAGTGTAGCATAACGCAAACTGTGCTCCTCACTGATGTTGTGGCCACGCTTGCCATGCAGTGTGTTTTCCAAATGTTTTCAATGACATAAAAGTCCAGGAACCTTTTTTTATTACCATGTGCTATCTAGGACTTTGTAACCTTCACGCTATCATTGCTTGGTAAGAGCAGTACTAAAATGGTGTAAATGTGGAATGTTTATTCAAGAAGTGTGGACTTCCCATGCACATGCTTCATCACTACTAATGTCATAGGCTTTGTAAAAAATCGGACACTAAAAAGGGCAAATGCACAATAAGTCTGCACAATGATGTCTTGAGGTCAAAGGGGTTGTACGATGCTAATCAAGGGAACAATGGTGATAACACTTATCATATGCTTACATAAGTACGGATGACATCTGTCTGCACGCAAAGGGACCTTGCAACATTGTTCCAAGTAACCACGGAACGGCTTCATTGAAGTCATTTATTTCCTGATGAATTGACTACCGCAAAAATTTTTAGAATCCATCAAGCATGAGTGGGATCAAGCAAGAGAGACTCGTCACACGCTGTAATTGCTTTCTCTCTTCCTTCATTCCAGCAAGCTCAGCAGAGAGAGACGGTACAGGGCAAGGAAGCCATCACCATCATCTTTTCTCCTATATTTCTTTTATTCGAGTGAGCGGGGGACCTTCAAGATGATCAAAAGTACTCGCACGAACATGTGGCAGCATTTCGCAATGGCTGTAGTAACTGTGCAACTTATGATGCTCAAATGAGTCCGTGGCCGTGAATTCAGGTATACGGCATGGTCAATTCGTTATGTGGCATCACTTGTCAAGAGAATAAGGAACACTTTCTCGCTGACTTAGCGTATTAATTGTAAAGTCCAGGCCACATGCTGCACCATAATGTTTGGCTCGCAAGTTCTCAGACGCCTTGACTACCGATTTGCAGCACTTTCTGACTGTGTTGAAAAAGTGTTGCAGTGCCCCTTGAAGGATCCTCTGCTTATTGTGTTAAAGTGACACATGAACTCATTCTTTATGATTGGACAAGAATGGGTGCACACTTAGTTGTAAATTGTAAACTGCTAAATTGAAGAGAATCTAAAATATGGAAGAAGCTTTTCAGTACAGTGTGGTAATTTATTAATTAAGCAATTGGCATTCTTTATGGTATAAATACTCATGAGCCAACATGACTTACACTTGCTTACTGTAGGAATTCCTGATGGCATTGTTTTCATGGGCCTCTTCCACCAACATATTGCAGTGGAGTATAATGGGCGCTTCTGGTCGAGTTCAATTATCATATTCACTCACATAATAATACCGTAGCCCACTGCCGATTGTCATTGGCCACTGATCTATGGCATGCCACAGTGAGGAATTTTTCCCAGGGAGGCGGGTCTTCGACTGGGCAGTAGGGATAAGGCAAGCATATGTGGTCTTGCATCATTCTATCTATGCTAGCTATGCTGCGATGGATCAAAAACATTAAAGGGAGTAAGAACCTACTGTGTCACTCCATAAATGTGCCCCTGTTGAGTTGTGTATCAAACGTCAGCTGGTGTTGCTATATGTCTGCTTGTATTAGTTATGTACAGATGATAAAATTAATGTCCTCTTTGCTCACTTTTATTCCAACTGACCGAGCTTTCCACCATTATCTTTTATATGCAGTCGCAGATGTGCATTCACTAGCACTACTATGATAGCCAGCATTACAGGGGTAATGCCTAATCTCGTGTAATGGAGCTTGCATTTGAAACATGGGCACATTATCAGATAGATAGAAAGCTTTGTTGCAAGAAAACACGATTGCTAAATGCAGCAAGTTCATTCAGATGCTAGGTAAATAAAATTTCAGCATATAGAGAGAGAGTCGATTGTATTGACTATACGGTAGACTAAGAAGAAAAAAAAAGAAAGATGACTTTGGCCTTGTAGCTAACGGCAATCGGAAAGTGTGTAAATGTGTAAATTTTAATTTTTGGCCAGAGACATTGTGCTCTCTTGACTTGATTTGGTGCCTGAAACTTTTCACTTGCCATAATTAACTGCATACATGTTCATTTCTGTCTTTCAGTGCTACGGCTTGGACGCTTTTTGGATGCCCTCCACGGTGCAACACGCACAATCAGCCTTCCGGATGTGTCGCTGCGTCTCAGCCTGACCATGGCCCGCATCGGCAATGCTTTTTACATACTGACAGACAACCTGGTCTGGCTTCACCAGGTTGGCTTGTTGACATTGCAGAGGTAGAGTTCCTGCAGCAGATTTTAAAGACAATAGTCTTTCTTGGGGGACTTGCAAGGAAAAAAATTTCGTTTTGTCTGTCTGTCTGTACATTTGTCTGTTTGTCTGCCCTAACGATACCTCAAACGGCACCAAACGACCAACCCCATCCGCTAGCGCCCACCAATATTGCTCAAGGTTTAGCGTTCATAGTTTTGCGATTGTCAACTAAAAAAGCAAATATTGTGCATATCTGAGGCGCCATAACAACACGTCAATGTTTTGTATGTCTGCCTTTAAACTAGAAGAGGCACACACAAGTAACTCTAAGGACTGTAGCATTTATCGCTCTGCGCTGACAGTGCAACCCGATGCTCAAAAAGATGTTTCTAACGCTTTGCTACGACGACACAGTGGTGGCGCCTGCCCGTCGCTTTGCATTCTACACCTTATCACCTCCGAGACTGGCGCGCATCTTTCTCCGTGGTCGCGCACGCCTTCGTTTTCGAAAAGAACTGCCAAATGGCGCTCGTGTATGAGGTGCCTAGATGCGCTTGTTCGTTACCGCAACACGCTCGAAACTCTAACGCAGCGTCTTCAGAATACCATTCACCGATTTTCTTGCGCAGAACATCAAATAAGTGTTCACTCTCTCCAGACGCAAGACTATCGTCTTTCGACGACATTTACACTGTAACATGTAGATTCGGGCTACTTTTTTTTTTTAAATTGGTGCTTGTGTTGTTTACAAGGAAATGTCGCATTGGTGGGTGTCATGAGAGGTGATGCCATTTTGTGTATATAAAGAACATCCTAAAAGTATGAAAGAACATTTTTAGGTCTTCATTCTTCAGTAACTGTGTACTGAACAAGACAGCAACGTTGATCATCAATGGTCACAATGATATGTAATCATTTATTGTTACGGCAATTTTCAAACAGTGATGCTTGCTCAAGTTTGTAAAGAAAAATAATTATTTTATTCTTCTCGAGATGTCAAGCTCTCTTGTGGAAAAGCAAATCAGACATGTGTGGTTGTGGTCTACAACAGCACTTACACCTAATGAACTGCGCTGATTACTTGCTTACTAAAAAAAAACAAGTTTATTTGCAATTCAGTTAAAAATTACAAGTTCACCGGAAAGCTTACAGTACCAAGTTTCTTCTGCAGTCTTCTATTCTATGCAGCGGATTTCGCAATGCCAAGTGAAAAGGGGTAGGAGCCTTGTCAAGCTGCTAACATAGCAGCTATTTGCTCTCATCCTTGCGTTTTTCTTTTTCGCAACTCTGTGAAGAAAATGCTCAATAAAACTGAAACTGCATTTCAAGCTAATTCTATACCCACAATATTGTGAAAAAAAAAAAAAAATGGGAGGTGCAGTTTGTTGGTCAGTGAAGGGCCTGTAAATTGTTTTTGGCATCGCAGACAAACAACCACGACATGTAGGTCACTCAGCAGCAGACATGATTACAAATTATGGTATATTGATGGAGTTTCGGGGCAGCTCAGGCTATGAAACGTTAGCATGGTGTGAAAGCAGCTGAAGCGTGAAAAATAAGCACTTTGTGCCCTCCCTTTCGCGGGAGCCATGATTGGAGAAAGTGAAAGGTAATGCACCCTACATCCTTGAAACTCCCACAAACCGTTTGTAGTCACCCATGCATCTTGAGCAACTGTGGAACGCCACTGACAGTGACGTGTGCCTTCGGCTCTTCATACGGCGTAAACCATGTAGTACCATTACTGCAATTGTTCCAAGCAGCAAAACATTAAGAGAAGGGAAATTGGTGGGTCTGTTGACATGATGGTGCCCTCTCATCTCTGGCATAGAATATGCTAGGAAGCTTCACCACACGTGGACGTTAGCTGAAGCAAAGAGAGAACATGTAAGCTCCGGCAGTGCAGCTTGCCACCAATGGGCATGGAAATGAACACTTATGGAAAACTAAAGGACCAGTTTGAAAAATTATTCTACTGAAACATTATTCAGAAGGCACCTTGGAACTTCCAGTGATTAAGCAAATACTGTAGTTAAGCATGGTGGAGGATCCTTTAAGGAATGTAAATACAAAGCAAGAAGACAAGAATCGATGCACGCAGTGCTGTATACATTACTTCTATCTTTCCCTGATGTGCCTATAATCACAGGCAAAAAAGTATGCCTCTTCTACCGTCTCAAGCTACCAGCTGTAAGCTTTTTTCATAATCACTGCATTGTTTCTGGTGCCACATCACCTGTCCACTTGTGCATTGCTGTAATAGTGTAGCAATGCACGCCGTAGTAGCGCAGCGCATTGTTCTTGCTATCCGAACATCGTGGTACTACATGCATGTTTCATTACTGTATTGCTAGCACTTGTGAGACATGTCTGCTGCCAAACTGTGTACTTCCATACTCATATCTTTCCTTTGCCCAGTGCACCAATGCAAGCTGTGCTGGAGGCTAGCACATACATAGGCCGCACACTTTACCTTGCAAGTAATAATTGGCGTACACTAAGGCTGGGTTAACTAAGGTTGGGTGATTGTTCATGAGCTCCAGAGTTCTAGTATCTGAATGCCGTTGCCACCACTTGTACAGTGCAGATTGACTGTTTTAGTACATGGCATACGGTAGGAAAACACAGTTTCATTGTCGCACACTAGTGCCAACAGATCAATGTGTACTGTGCAGTAGAAAACAAACATGACGAGCAGATGGGGGCAAACGCAGACTCTCTACTGAATTTTTATGTTTCACATGCCCCATATAATTATTGAATTGGGAAAAGAAAAGCTAGCTGTTAAAAAACAATTGAAAAATTGTACACCCGATGCACGAGGCAGAAGAGTACGCTCATTGGCCATGCGCATCATCTCCTAGGAACGTTACCTTTTTATCTAAGAGAAAAACGGACAGTTTGCTGATGCAGTTATCAGCTTCTCGTTCCATTTTCCCAGTGTCAGTAATTGTATGGTTACTATCACCTTGGTGCCTGCGCATCACAACTGTGCTTTCAAACTGCGCACCGCAACCGCTTGTGCTGGCATCCTGTGACAAGAAACTCTCATTTTCATTTCATACATTACATGCGTGCTCACGCAGGCATTCTGTAAAGGAACCCTGAAACGGCTTTGGCGATTTTGTACAAACACATTTGGCCGGTAGACCAAGTGTTATTTAGAGACCGATTTGAGTTCTCTGTGCAAACTGTGTAGTTTATTACAACGCTTCAAAGCTGCAAATTGCTGCAGATCGTTGTGATTTGGCCAATGCGTTTTCAACCGCCCATTCACAGAGTGACATGCTCTGGACACTTGGCGAAGCTAGAGCACGTCACTGTAGCTGCTGATCTATCTGATTGGCTGTCATGACTGTAGATTGTGCTGAAGAAAGATCGGCTGGTAGGGTAACGACACCTGTCGAAGGGGATATAAACCACACTGCGATCTTTGTGTCTGTTTCCCGACTGCGTGCGTGCTCCCAGGCGCACTATGTGATGGCCTCCGAGACTGCTCACAACCTGTTCACATGCTATCTCGGAGGTCTAGACTTGTAAAAGCTCCAATCGTCGAGTGCACTCATGAGAGCTCTGCAATCGCCAGTGTGCCTCATTAGTTGAGGAGGCCAGGCAAAGGTGAGAAGGAGGGCATGATATAATTGTCCGTAGCGGCCCTGGTACCCGCCATGTCACTGGATTTGTGGTGCAGATGATTTGATGATGCTCTATCCTAAACGCTGACAAAACTTCAAAAAACCGTTTCAGGATTTCTTCAAGGCATCTATCTTCCACTCTGTAACACGCACCACATGATAGCGGAATCCTGTAGATTACATTAAAATTGGGTTTTATGCATGACATTGCAAGAGCATTTAGGCTTGTTGCTAGCACTTGTCGTTCTGGCAAGTTAGGAGATATTGTAAGGTGCTAAAAAGACCACCTGCACACCCAAGGCTTCTTTCATTTGGCGCGATAGCGGGTGCCTGTATGAGATCGCCGCGACATCGCATTTAATTGCGTCCCGTTCATTGTAATCAGCACTCTGTCCTACAAATGGTCCTGTCATTCACTTTGACTGCCGAGGAAGCGCTCCCCTCTCTTTTTCAGGAGACTTGAAATGTGCGCCTCCTTCTCTTCTTCCACCATTTTCACTCTTTCTATTTGCCCAACTCACAATATAAAAAACAGTGAATGTATGAATATTCAACAAAGCAACTTGGAAGCATGGGTGTACATTCTTTTTTCCTAGCATGTCTTCCATTGCCATCTCGAATTTAGAACCGTGACAGAGCATCGGCTCCCCCTCCACATCTTGCTTGGTTATTCTTCACCTTTGCGGTGCGCTTGCTCTGGATTTTACGGTAAGCAAGGGAAGCTTGTTGGATTGATTGAGCCAGCACAATCCACAGCCACAAGGAAAAGAGAGCTAGTAGTCATGATTTTACAGGACTCTTTGCAGCATGCAGCCCCATTTTGTTTTTCTATGACCCTATTTATAACGAAGCAATTTCTGTAGTGCCTGCATACCATTGTTATAAGTGTCTCCACTTATCGCCATTTTCACATTAGTCATCAAGAAGATATGCTTCTAAAAATATTGGGGCAGTTGGTTAAATTTTGACCTTTTGTGCAATATGGAAAGGGTTACATTTGCTTTTTAAAGGTGGTGTCAATGTGAGTGAGGTTCGCATGTAGAAAAATGAAGTGCCGTCGAATCTTTGGTTTTGATCTGATTTTATTTTTACATTCTTCTGCAGTATGAGTGTTCATGTCCAGGGTGCTTTTCAACAAAACCTTATATTTAAGCTGTCTCCTACTTTTGTGCAGGGATACCTGGAGCCGCACAAGCAATAAGTTTTGGTTGCTGGCCATTGTGGCCGCCCTGATACGCGATCTAACTGAGCTGTACCAGATACTGCCCTTGCTGTTGGCTGCACCGTCCAAGGGTGCCAACCTTAGGACCTCGCTTCGCATGCTGTGGGTGTCGGCAAGCTTCCACAAGGCACTTCTACTTGACCTGGTCAAGAACGTTGCAGACCTGTGGATACCTTACACAGCTTTGGGCCATGCCAAACTTGAACCTGGGACAATCGGGCTGCTTGGTGTTATTTCCAGTGCAGCTGCTATTCTGCCCATGCTGGACTCAACATTCTCCCTCAGCCCAGCATGAGTGAGTGTGTGTGGGACAGGTATTCACTCGTGCAAATGTAAGTGAATAACGGTTGTGCTTCGCTTAGCGGAATGTCTTCTGAAAATGTTGAGCTTCAAGACATCACTGGCAGATGCCACTTGCAGCATTGTGAGTGCCAGATGGCAGCTGCTCTATCGTGGTATGATCTTCAGAATCCGAAGCTTTGCGAAAATGCCAGATTCACCTGGGTTCGTAGTAATACACAATCTATTATCTTATTTCTTAGAAGTTGCTCACGAGCTAGCACTGTCAGATGGAATGAACTTTTTAATGTTACGCGATAGGGAATACATTATTGATATGAATGCCTCCTTTTGGTTGTGTTAGTAGCTATGAGAGCACATCTTGTTTGAATTGTTATTAAGGACGCAATGTTGAGAGAATGTGACCGGAGGTGTGAAATCTCTACATGCACAAGCATGTGCTGTACATGTGCTTTTTGTGTACATACTCGATGGTGACACTAGCATACCGTAACCTGTGATTTTGCCATGTTGTAGATATGTTTTTATCTTTATAAAGTTATGATGTGTCTGCAGATTCGCATTTGCATTACACATTTCTTACTCTGCCTTGTGATCAAGAGTAGGTTTTTTTTCCCGAAATATTACAGCATAATAAACAACAAGGGCTGAAACAAGACTACAAGGACGTCTCATCTCGTCTCATTTTTTCCGTCTGTTTCCTGTGCTGCAGTATTCTGAAAAAGTGCAACAACACACCCAACTCACCACTTCAATCAAGATTAAGCCTAAGCTTTTATAAAAGCTTTTGTCCTTGTCAACATGGTGTGAGATATGCATTTTCACAACACGGCTCAGATTGGCACAAAAAGAACTGCCTCTATTGTAGATGTGGTGTGCGATGTACATGTGTGCAACACATGCAAAGAGGGACAAGAAGAAATGGCCACATGCACTGTGCACGTGAATTTCTTCTAAAGCAGCAGCACTGCTACACTTAGCACACTCAGAGAAAGCTGGGAAACTGGGCAGGTGATATATATATCTGTAATGCATTGTTCGTATCAAGGTGCAAGAGTGTCCGTAGCACTGAAGTTTTACAGGGTTGCACGCTTTAGCGATGAGAGTTGAACTACAAAGCTTGTTTTTGGGCCTTTTTGAATCTCAAGATATCTTTTCTTGCTGCCCTCCCAGTAGACTGTCTGTAAAAACTGGTTTGATAAGGGAGAACTAGATAGCGTCCTCTGGCCACTGAACAGTGCTCGCAGTGTGTTTCTTGATAGTATGCTCAATATACCATTGCATTGAAGCGGCAAGTCCAGCAATGCTTACACCAAAATACCTCTTTCTTATGTGTTTTCTAATAAAATTGTGTTCCATGTTCATCTTGACCACCAAACATCTGTAGTACACCATATTATTTCATGATCCTGTCTTATAATATTTTGACAAACAGCCAATGTTTACCGAAAAGTCTTGATAAATAGAAATGGAGCTTGTAAGGAAGCTGCATCCATCTGTGTGATAAAGTCTAAATTATTAGGCAAATGTGTGAACATATGTCTTGTGTGTTAAACACTTTCCATGTATTTAGTTGTGGAAGTAGAAATAATTGCTCTGTATTGCTGCCATCATCTGTTGCTTTGTGGCAAAACTCAGACTTGATAATCTTTTGGCCACATTAGACTCTCAATAGCAGAGCACAGAATAATTCCCTTTCAGTTATAGAGCATTTGTGGGAAGTAAAATACTAAAATGTGCCAAGCTACAGATAACTTGAATGTGTAGTTGGCCATTAGATTAGGCCAAGTATCGTGCTGATACTCATTCAAAAAACAGTGACAGCATTTTTATCTCTTACATTGGGTCTGTATGCTGCCTTTGATCGAAGGTATATGACGTGTTGTATGTGTTGATAAATGAGAAAATTATCATAAAAAAACTCAAGAACACATTACAGAGGCTGCAGAGCAGACAGTTTTTACATTTAGATGAACTGTCAATCATCAATGAAACTTTGCTGTGGATCAATGAATAGTGTAGGAGCTTGTGAATATTTATTTTCAGGGTATTGGCCTGGACAGAGAAGTGATGCAACACTAAAAATAAGACTGGCACAAAAATTGTTCATGTACTAAGAAAATGGTGGCCACATATTGCAGTGTGGGCTGGTGAGTCAGTGTCATCTGACGCATGATCCACTTCCGAGATTGAGTGTACAATTCTGTCACTAGGAGCTATTCGAGTGAGTGACTGCTTACGGGGCTTTGGAATAGATTTGAGCGCTAACAAAGTAGTTTGTGGAGATTTATTTCACGTGGTTATTTTAAGCTGAAAGTTCGATAACACAATAGAAACTTCAACTCTTGCAGTTTCGGGTTCTTATGGTGTCAGCCTGACTACTAGGCCCGCATGCTCCTGACAACCACGCCAGAGCCCGAAACTGCCTCAAAGTGTCACCTTGCAGAGAAATAACCGGCTGCTTGTGGGCTCTACACAAACGTTATTGCAACTGTACAGCTATTGAAAGACTGTTTTTAAACATGTGTCCAAGAAAGCAGATCAGCTTGTTGTAGCATTGTGGCTTCAATATTGCACACAATCTTTGTGGTGGGGTAGGGTGTAAATGTGATTTCACAGGCATGAGTTTCAAGGCCATTTCTTGCCGAGTAAAGTTTTTAAGTACTAATATGCATGCAAATTGCTTTTACGACAAGTTTGCTCGATTCGAATTCTGAATTAAGCATAGCTGTACAAACCTTCCACTGTGTATAGAGAGAGACTGGTGGCAGTGGACTCTCACGAGCAAGATACATAAAAGATGCATAGTGCAATCAACCTTCCCATCTTTCATGTGCAGTTCTCTTCACATACACAAATTCATTTTTACTGGTTACTTGGCTAAGTTATTAGCGGCTATAGCTTTTCTTGAAGCCATTACACAATGGACCTGTATATATCATAGAGTTTCCTAATATACACTAGAGGGAACTCTGGCGCTAGTCTCTATGGGAGCTGCAACGCACAACGCTTCAGCGAGCATGGGAATGATGGGTAGTACAACATTTGTCTAATTTTTGTACTTATGGCCTGCTTCTGGCTTCGTGTGTTCGTGTGGCTTAGAGCTGTTTTTTCACGAAAAATAAATTAGCAAATCTGCAGTGTTTGCACTTCACAACCTTATTCTTTTAGGCTTACCATTTTGAATCGGGTCACAATGTTTAAAAGGATTCGTTCTTTCCTTCAAAACAAAACCGTAATACCGTAACCAGCAATAAACGAAGCCGCAAGTAGGATTCGCCACCCACAAGTACGAAGACTAGGCAAGTGTGTGTACTACCCATCATTCTCATGGTCGCTGAAAGATCGCAGCACCGGAGTCCCCTCTAGTTAATTTTAGAAAACTCTATGGTGCATGCAGACCTTCTGATGTTATCGTCATCCATCATTCTTTTGTCTCCCTTTTCCCAGTGCAGGGTAGCAGGCCAGAGAAACATTTACTTCAGGTTGACCTTTTTGCCAAGAATCTTCTCTCTATATATATAATAATTTTGTGTTTTCCTGTTACCGAGTTACATAAGAAATTTCAGTTAGACAGTGGAAGTTGTGTGCCCAAAGAGAAGCATTATGCCACATGAATTTTTCTAATCAGTTCATTGGGAGCTGAGAAAACCAATATGTATTTTGAAGCAGTGCGAAACACTAAGACGAGCTCAAAACCCTTGCCACTTACCATGTCAATGGCCACACGTAGCCTTCGCATGCCGAAACGCTCCCCTTTCCTTTTTAGCACCGGAGCTATGGCGGCTACATATCGAAGCTGGAGGATCACATGACGCAAACACAAGAACACATCATGTGTATGCAATCTCACGTATTGGGTGATGTGCCTAAGCCAGCCCGAGCACACGAGGGTGGTCGTCATGTTGTGTGAGCGTTTTCTGTGGTCTGCTGCCTGTTTCTGCAAGATGGATCCCTCGGTGTGCGCAAATTTGTAAAGGCTGGCACGGATCATGGATTCTTACCATGACACCTAGTCGCATCGCTGAAACTGCTGTCACAGACGATGCAGCAAAACTCGCCAAGCGTTGCGACACCTCTACTATGCAGGAATAGAAAAAACACAAACGCATGCAAAAAGCACACAGATTAGTCGTGCGTCTCGGTACACATTTTGCATAGTGTTGCAAATCTGCGTTGTGTTGCGTTGCAAGCTTTGGCAGACGTGATCTTAAAAGACGGTGTATGCATTGTGCTTGTCGACTCAAAATACTCAGACCAAGTGAGGGGCCCTGTTAGGACTATAGAAGCACCAGCTCAGGACTGCATGGAATACAGCAAGACTTCGTTCGGCTGCAATTCAAGCCGCTTCAAAAAGCCATTAAACTTCACAATGAAGCAAGAGTGTGTGGCCTTCCCATAACTAGATAGTTTTAGCTCAGTGGTCATGGCTCACTCAGCTTAGGCCAGTGTAATTTGATAATTTCTACTCAGCCACTTTATGGGAACACTAGTGGGCAGGTACTCATTGCTCGTGGCCCCGCCGCAGTGGTCTAGTGGCTAAGGTACTCAGCTGCTGACACGCAGGTCGCGGGCTCATACCCCGGCTGCGGCGGCTGCATTTCCGATGGAGGCGGAAATGTTGCAGGCCCGTGTGCTCAGATTTGGGTGCACGTTAAAGAACCCCAGGTGGTTGAAATTTCCGGAGCCCTCCACTACGGCGTCTTTCATAATCGTATGGTGGTTTTGAGACGTTAAACCACACATATCAAATCAAATCATCTCATTGCTCGTGTAAGTAGCTGAACACAAAAGGCTGTTTTTGCCTTTCTACTAAGCACATTTTGAGTTAAGCACAAGTGTGTTACCACTTAACTGCGACATGTTACAACAATGCTGACTGCGATTTGCTGATGACCCCAACCAAAACACTAGAACAAAAGAAAGCATAGGCAGAGAGTTTTCATATTCCTGGAGGGGGCAGGTGCCCGTATTGCTCTTTCACATTCTCTCTCTCTCTCCGCATATAAATATATATATGTATATATGTATATATATGTATATATGTATATATGTATATATATATATATATATGTTTATGGTTTATTTCGACGTTTCGGCCTAGAGTCTGGCCTTCATCAGGTGATGAAGGCCAGACTCTGGGCTGAAACGTCTAAATAAATCACGTTGTGACCACTAACGGAGGATCTACTTGACTACCTGCAACCCCTGCCGCGGCGGTCTAGTGGCTAAGGTACTCGGCTGCTGACCCGCATGTCGTGGGTTCGAATCCCAGCTGTGGCAGCTGCATTTTCGATGGAGGCGGAAATGTTGTAGGTTTATGTGCTCAGACTTACGTGCACGCAAAGAACCGTAGATGGTCTAAACTTCCGGAGCCCTCCACTACACCGTCTCTTATAATCATATGGTGGTTTCGGGACGTTAAACCTTACATATTAATCAAAGCCGTGCAAATTCCATAATTTTTGTCATCCTGTAAGTTTATTCTCAATGCAGCCACGGTGCTATACTCCTTACTTGTCCCTGGCCCATGATCCAAATTTTAAAAGCCTGAATTAAAGGAAAAAGAGCAGACATAAAGAGTTCTCTGGGATATAGCTGCAAGACAGGATGTCCAACAGTCCATTGGCAATAGATAAAAATCATAAGCCAAGCTAAAGAAAATTAAATATCCAGAGCGAGTGTCAGGGGGGGGCTCTGCCCACCATGAAGCAGCCAGGAGGGCTGACCACCTCCCGTACTCTCCACCTATGAAAGAAAGTGAAACCCAGACTGTCTCCTATGCTATCTTAGTAGCACATAAAGTTTGAGTAGAGGAAATTCTATGTGATGTTTATGTAAAGTCATCTAGCTATGTGGAGTGAGTGATGTAAATAAGTATTTTTCACAGTTTTTTTAGTGAAATTGTGTTTTGCAGTGCTTGTTTGGACTGATGCTGTTTCAGATTCAGAAATCTTGAGAAGGGGCCTGCTAAAATGTGCACGCTGTCAGACACTGCTTACACATTTTTGCTCTGTTCAGCATGGGTTTTCTTTCTAATTACTGGTTATGCACTAGTGGTAGTCTATGGTACCCAAAAGGAGACTGGACTTGGTGGTAGGATGCAGTACCAAGGTTGAAAATGCCGGACACTCTTCTGCACCTGGCATTGAAGCTACTTGTGATTCCAATGGTTTGTTGCAAAAAAGATTAGCAAGAACATTGCACTTGCTTTTTTTTTCTGTTTTTCTATCAATGACATCATATGCAGCTTGTGTTCTAGAAATGTCATATGTGCTTTCAGGTTCAAAATATGCCGGAAATGTAGCCAGCTCTGAGTACAAATTAGTAAAATTATCTCAAGATTGCATGTATTTGTCCACTCACATCATTATGCTCAAAATACAACATTGAAATAATTGGTGTGTTTTAAATTTTGAATGCACGAGTGCTTGAGGATGCCAGAGACCCGATGGTCACGGGATTGAATGGCAGCGGCGGCGGCCGAGTTTATAGTGGGTAATGAAAATGTTCGAGGTCCGTTAAGATTTAGGTGTGCACCGAACTGGTCAAAATTTCCAAAGCTCTCCAATAAGACATCTCTCAAAATCATATCGTGGTTTTCAGGACATTATACTCCAACATTGTCGATTTTTATTTAGCTTCTTTGCATACAGTGTAACATTCTTGGCGGCATGCATTACATTCGGAGATAATTACAAGAACTGACAAGGGGACCTCCTAATTCTAAAGCGCATGTATGTTAAATATTTTGTGCAGCATGAGAAAAAATAATACATTTATAAAAATTTACACGAAAGCTAAGGACAATGCAAGATTAAAATGTGAAAGCAAAATATTAATGAAAAATGAAAGCAACAAACAACAAAACTAACATGATATATATAGAACTACGATTATACAATATTCTGTACAAAAAAAAAAATAGTTCCAGTGAAAATTATGATGATGCAGGCATTATGAACACATCAAGGCAAAGCAAACACAATAAGATAAAACAATGTATTATAAACGTTCTGCCTTACACTGGAAGCTTACCTCTTAACATTAACATTTCTGACTGTTGACATTATAGTAATGGGTCTTAGCCATAATCGCATTCTATTCTTTTGTGTTGTAAATTCAGTCTCATGTTACATTTGGCACTAGCCAGTAGATTTGGCACCCCAAAGAAGAAAAATAGCAAGCTCTCCATAAGTGCTCCATCCGAGCCATTAGATATTAGAAGTTCACACAAATTTTGAAACTTGCTAATATTTTCCTTTCAAAATTTACACGGACTTCATGCTGATATAAAACATTCAAGCTGGTACCGTACAGAACAAGTGCATAAAAGTTTTTAGCTCTTGTTGCTTCCAGTGTTTCCTCATATTACTTGTTAATTGTACACATTCGGCAAGATGTTGCTCATTTGGGTCTTCCAGCCTATGTCAGTATGCTTTGGCACTGCACTTCTTATTCCTTCTGAAGGCCACCCTCACAACTATTGCCACAAGACTATTTGGAACATCCGCGTATTTCACTGTCAGTATGCACTGCACTAATTTTTATGTAGTGACTTTACATCAAATATTTATTGACCTTCATTGCATCCTTGTAGGGACCAACAAGCAGTCTAATTTCTGTTAGTATAAATAATTTACAAAAAGTCTTTCTTACTACTTTTTTCCTGAAATATTTGGTATTCCACCTTACATTGTGAACATACTGCACTAGATAAAGCATGTGTATTTTACAATGTGCTATAGATGAATTCAGCCACTGGTTTTCATGCTAATCTGCCTTTTACACATTCTATCCCCCTTCCTTAGTGATAGGGGAATTCTTCCCCTATCCAATTGCCAATTGAAAAGTTCATCATCAGTGACAATGGTAACTCAAATAGTGTGAGTTAATAGGTCATCTAGACTTCATGAGACTACTTTCTAATTATAATTTTCATGAGGAATATTACTTATGGCATGTGTATAAGAAAACTTTTTTTCTGTTAACATGCACGTTTCAGACTTATGGCCTAACCGTTAAGAACTCTTCCTACCTTTCGCCATGGCTTTGTTGTCAGTTATCTCTCTTGACTGCTTTCACTGAAGGCCATGGAAAGTTCAGCTGCCCACAATACCCTGATGCAGGACATGTGGTATTGTAATCAACCACTTGTATAAACTGGTTCAACTTCCCTCCACTGTTTCTGGTGGTGCACATCATAGTGTTTGTAATAACAGTGCTAAATTATTTTTGTGAAACACACATAATGCGCAGTTCTAGTACAGAAGGCACAGGTTCCTCATGTGTTTAAAGCTATTGTGAACTTTCATGCACAGGAATCGAAAAGCTTGTGCAGACTGAGATGCAGCTTGCTTCATCTGTCCAATTAAGTGGCATTGTGCATGCTGTGGATGATTTGCTTCACTTTCGGTGTGTGTATAAATCCAACTTTTCAGCAGGGAAATTTGTTCAACTGCTGTCAGTGGCACGCGCTGCACAAGAGACTCTCAGGCAGGCCTGTAGCCAGAAATTTTTCGCAAGGGGGAGGGGTTTCGGGAGCCCCACTTGATAAAGGCATTGATTATTTTAGAGAAACACCTACTTTTATAATTTATTTTCTCTAAAACACCCTCCCTCCCTCTTTATCCATACTACCTATTTTGTAGCTATGAGCTTGTTCTCAGACAATCCAACCACTTACACTGCATATTAGTGTGCAGCATGTAGACTACTGCTTGACTTTTTTCCCCTTCCTGTCCGTGACGTTAAAACGTCGAACTTTTGTTGGTCTCCAACTTTGTTTTGAACGCTCTGTCGCCATATATCTTTATTAGAGCTAGCCAGGGGCATACCCAGAAATATTTTTCATGGGGGATGGGTGCAACTATACCTTATGTGTCTTTGTGTATATGGAAGCAAAATTTTCAATTTTCGTCCCCCAGGCACGCCCTTGGAAGCTTACTTAATTGCTTGAGTTAGTATCCCTGTAGAAATAAATAAAGAGAAGAAATAAAAGGAAAATGATCGTGGCTTCTTTTTTTTCTTTTCACATTTTACGAAGCAGCAGAGTTATTGGACAACACACAAATTGATGAATGGCATTCCTCTGCACAAGCTGAAACATTAAACTAAAAGTGTGGCAGCTTGGGCTAGTTGGTATGGCATGACGATAGTTATAGCGCGAAAACAAAAGGACGACACAGAGACAAGAAGGACACGAGCGCTCGTGTCTTTCTTGTCTCTGTGTCGTCGTTTTGTTTTCGCGCTATAACTATCGTCATTAAACTAAAAGCTGGGATGGTGGAGTAGATCTCACAGCAAATTCATGTTGTACACACTGCTCAAAAATTACTGATAATAAGTTACACGTGTAATTTCGGAAAGCGTGCAAGTTTTTAACAGCGGTGTTAGAACAGATTTTTTTTTTTTTCGTAGAAGGGGGAAGAGTATTAGTGCGCATCTAAAATACATGCTCGCCCCCCCCCCCCCCCCAAACATTATGTCATAAATTAAATTGCTTTCAAGGACGGCTCCCTGGGTGCCGCCATGATCCCCTACCTGCTTGCGTAAAGATTCGTGACCCCCCCCCCCTCTCTCTCTCTGAAAAAAAAAAAAGAAAAAGGCGCCGGTGTCAGCGTGCATCAGCATTTGCATTCTCTGCCAGCCACAGGCCTTAAAAAAGCTGCTCCTCTTCTCCTTTCGAAAGGTCAATACATTGCTGCTAAATTTAATGAATGCTTTTGTGTGCCGACTTGAACACCCGATGCATAGGCGAAAGGTGATAAGGTTATGCATAGGCTAGGATCATAACATTCTTTTTTTTTTAACTGCAGTTAACTGATAAATTTGTTGCTACAAAGCCGCTGCAATGTCGCGAGTTCGTATCTAAACAGTAGAATCGAAATTCCGGGGTAGACGGAATAAACCATGGAGGAAATAAAAACAATCGTGAGCGGAAATGAGCCAATTGCGCGTCCAGCGCACCGCTGCTAAACGGAAGCAGCTCAACAGCTAGGCAACGAAAATTGACCAGTTAGTCGTTCATTATCATTACTATACAATTTCCGGGAATCTCGTGCCTTTCTATAAGGTATTGAATCAGCCGACAACGCTTCTCATTAAGATAGCGCATACCCTATGTGAAGAGAACTGATAAAAAGGAGGAGGAGGAGGGGGGGTGATGCGTTATATATTTGAGATTGCTGCCGATGCATTAAGATGGGTAATTAGTCGCGTATCAATAAGGCTCTAGACCGAGACGGTTCAGTGGTGTAGTACGTAATGCACTGTTTCATTACAATGCTAACGAGGAAAATAAATTCACGAGAGCTACTGCGGTGCACTGCAGGGGGGAGACGCGCTTAATTTATGCCTACAAGGTCAAGAGCGGAGCGCTCTCGGTGCGGAACGCGCCCCCTACGAAAGGAAACAAAAACGCTGTCCGATCCGAGAAGCGGGAGCGAAAAGCCTTCCTCTCTCCAGAATCTCTTGTCGCCGTGGGCGGCGGCCATATTGCTGGATGTTGGCCTTGTTTTTTGCTGCTCTCCGGCCGCGGCGTCTGGCCGCTAACCAGCACAAACTTGAGGAAGCGTAACCAGTGGAGTAGCCATCCCTGTTGAAAGGCACCGCTGCTCGAGGCTTCCGAAGTGCGAGCGCACGCTGCGTCCCCCGATATATCGTGTCCGTCGAGCCGGGAAGACATGTCCGTCACCGGAGCCGGCGGCTACTCGGCACCCAACGAAGCATCGATGCTCCCCAGGCGCTCAGACAATCAAGTGAAAGCGGTGCTTGTGCGACATCGAATTTCGGATTTGTGCTAGCTAGTGCACCACAGACTACCATCGCGGACCCACGATTCTGACCTGGGATAATCGAGGTCGGCTAAGCCTAAATGTGTTGACTTTTGATCTGGATGCCGGCGACGAGCAGATGGAGGTAAGCGGCCACTTTCCTGACTCTGGGGTCACCGTCGTTCTAATCATGCCCAGCGCTGCGCTCCCGTTGAATTCAAATCGTTGCATTTTGCCAGGCGCTCGTGAGACTGCGGCAACCCTAGCCATCGGCGCATCGGTATTTTTTTTTTTTTTCGTAGGGTCGAAGTATTGGAGTGCGAAGAGAACGTTCGTTTTAGTTCTTTCTATCCTCTGCTTTCTCTTGAACAGCTGAGCGCTGCGCTCCGTTAAAAAAAATAAAAAAAAAATGCAATGTATGCGCGGAGGTATGCAACGCGCCTTTGATGAAAAACAAAAAAAAAACAAAAAGGGGGCGAAAGCTCGTGATAGGCGAAACAATAGTCAGATCGCCATGTTTGTCTTTGCTTGTTTTTTTCTGGATGTTTGCTTTTCATGTTCGCACGTCCCGCCGGTCCTGAGGAGGCGGCGCTAGGAGTGAGGGAGGGGCGCTGGAGGGGGAATTAGTAGTCATTGCAATTGGCGACTTCGATCGAAAAAGACTGCGATCGAAGACAGCGGCGGCGCTCGCGCTTTGGAAAGAGTTTTGCGTTTCCGTCGGATAGCTCGCGGTCACGTCCGGGCCTGATTGTCATTCGTAGCGTGTCGTTCCTTCGCGCGGTTGCAGTGTTTCTCGCCGCCTGCGGTGTTCGCGACTCTAGTTTGCGTGGAGGAAGCGGTTACTAATACGAAGCATGGAAAAAAATCGATGATTTCACAGCGTTATTTGGCGCTTCGTTTTCTCCTATTACGAGACGGGTGCGATATTTTGCACGAAGATGAGAGCAATACGAGATCATTGCTCGAGGAAATGGGTAGGTGCCGCCATCTACTAGTGCGTGATACGGCGCCTCCGTCGTTTTTTGATAGGCTTGTTGAATGTGTATGTATTTGTCGACGGCGGGAGGTGTGTGGTGGGTGAGAGGGAATGAACTCGCTGGCTCCATAGCTCGGGACATGTCTGCACTTGCGAGGAGGAAGGAGGCCCAGGCTGGTGCCTTCCCCCACCCTTCGCGTCGACGATTCCCTTTCCTTCTCATTTCTTTTTTTGTCGTGTACCGGCGTGCTCTCCCTTCTCGGCATCTCTTTGTTCGGTGCGGTCCATGTGTTCTAAACCAAGCAGCTGTCGGGAGTTGTACGTCTGCATTGAGTGCATGCGCTAAGAGGTTCCAGGCCATTGTTTTAAGAGTCAACGTTACGTGTCAGTGCCGAGTAGCGCCAATCGTAGTGCAGTTCAAGCAAGCAGTCGATACCATCGCGCCGTGCCGTATCTCTTCGAGGAATGAAAAAGATAGCGGGCGAAATCTTAATCAGTTGAAGAGATTGATAGGATTTTTGCATTGTGAAAGTCTGCACGTGCGCATCCTTAGTACCTTCCGCGTGGTTTAAACGTGCGGTGCGCCTAGCGAACCACCGCGAAGGAAATAAATAAAAGCAAAAAGGATTGCGCAATGAAAACAAAACAAAAATGTTCTCCCGCGGCGGCGTTGTCCATCGCCGTCGTCGCAAGGCAGCGAGGTAGCAAAGAGAAAGAAGGGGCGGCAGACGAAAACCCGAGACGGTAATTAACGAAAAGTTCGCCATTTTGAAAACGACACGGCGCGTTGGGGCGCGATTGAGGTTGTAATTTGTTATTTTTTTCCGCACGTCTATGCCGTTCTTTCGAAGTCACTCTCGCGAGATTGCACTGGGACGAAAAAATGCGAACTGATCCGCAGAAGCGAGTGATCAAGCCCGTTCCGCTGCGTCCGGCCGACGGAGCGCCATCCAAGTAAGCTGATGATGGCTGCGATGCCTTTTAATTGAAAGGTCGGCTCGTCAGCTAATTGTTTCGGCGAACGTATTCTGTCGATTTCTGCGTCGCTTTCCAGCTGCGCGGTGTGCTGCGAGGACTCTTTGAATGGTTGGTGTACTTTTTGACATCGTTCGAATGTTTTTTTGGCGCGCTGGGGCCGTCCGTGCGCGGCCGTTTTCTACGCGAAGTGCTGGGACGGCCGATAGAAATGACCGGTCGGGTCAGCGACCCACGGCGGCTTGCCGTCCGCACAGGCTTACGTTGTTGTCAATATTAACATATTTAGCGCGTCATTTTTTTATACGCACGTAACATCGGGGGCTCGATTGGAATCGCGGGTCTTGTACTGAGTGTTGTTTCGTATTAAAGCATTGGAAAGCAGGTCCCGTACTGCAGTTCGCGTCAGCAGTGCGCCGGTTTCCGATTCCTTCTTGCAACAAAAGCTTTTGCACCAAAGTATGCGTGCGTGTCAGTTCCCCACAACAATGTGTCGTAAGCCGAAGCTGTTTTTCCGATGACGACTGATGTTTGAGAGTCGCACTTTCGATTCCCATCCGTCAATTTTCTGACGCCTTTAAGCAAATCGAGCGTTCCATTCGGCGCAGTTTCTCAGTTGTGCACATTGTTCGGTTGTGTGCTGTGCACGACTGGAGAAAGGTGTAAACATCTGGAAAAATGCGTGTCGTGCAGGAGGAATCCAGAAGTCGCAATGTCATCTCTTCCGCCGACCGCATTATTTGTCCGCCCTCTCATTTCTAGAACGCGCGACGCTGGTAACGCGCGCGAGGCTGTGTGGTGGTGGTCGTCGTTGTTTTTTGTTTCTCGGGCGGTCGCATCCACCACCGGCGACGTTTGGCCAACACGCTCGGGCGTAGTGCGTGACCTACAATTCGCGGAGGCCGCACACTCTTGCTGCTTGAGCGAGTACGGCTCGCACTGATGGTTGCACTTCCGCCGACGTTGCTAACAGGCGCGATCATTTTTTTTTTTTTTTTCGCAAACGGCATCAGTCGTCGCCCGCTACAGCGGTATCCGTGCGGTCGACAGTTGTCGGTGTAGCAGTAAACATTCCGCCGCTACTACTAATCTCGTGTAGGTTTGCATGCCGAGCGGCTCGTGCGAGCTCTTCTTGCACGGGGTTTAACGTATCCGTACAGCTGTAGCATTGCGTCACCGCATTGCTGCTACGGATTTCTAGGTAGTCTAGAAGTGACGCTGATTCATGACCGATGACTCCCCCCCCCCCCCCCCCCTGCTCTCTTCCCAAAACATTCTGGTGGCTGTGTAGGCAACAAGTTTTTGAAGTGCAGCTTTCGTGTAATTGCGGCGTATGTATGCACACTATCTGCTGGCCAATCCACTGCCTTTCGTTCCTCGCCGCTATGCCTCCTGGCTAGTTTTGTTTCCATCATCCTCCAAACGGCTACCTTTGCAAAACTATGCTTCCTAAACGGAGACCATGTTTGCTCTGTGCTCTCAGTACATTCTGCCTAATGCCCATGCACATTTTCTTCGGATTTTTTTTTCCTCATAGAATGACATGCATATATCCCCCCTCCCCCCCCCTTTTTTTTTCTTTGTAAGCAATGTGTAGCATTGTGTCCCAAGAATGCTTTGCCAAGTGTAAAAAGAAATGTGTCCACACAACTTCCCGAGCTTCAATAAACCTTCCATTTCACTTCCATGTTTTTCCGTTTCAGATTGCACAACCTTTCATCTACTGTGCTTGCGAGTGAGCCCAGCATTTAATTAACTTGCACCATTGCCTTTTCATCAATACTTGCTATACTCTACAGTGAACACTCACTGATAAGTGCACAATTGTTAATCTGGTTGCCACTCACACCATATGTAGTGTCTGTTCCGTACAGCAGCGCAGTGCTTGAAAAGGTCATAAACCATCTCTCAGGCTTGTTGGGTAACGGTGATGAGACACTGTCCGCAGCTTAGCCAAATCTCCCGTTCGTGTGCGGCAAGGAGCGTTTAGAAGGGAAGCGCAAACTTGCAGTTTTCTCGGGTGCCCCCTTAGCATACAGAGACCAGTGCTCACTTTTTTTGGGGCTGCCGGCAGCTGCTGTTTAACGTTGGGGAAAAAAAAATGGCATGCTTTTGGCCAGTAGCCAACACAAATCATGAGTGGTGTTTGGTGAGGTGGGCTTTCTTGCTACGGAATGCCACCACATTGTGGGGCCACGCTCGCATGCACAAGAATGTTGATGGAAGAGAGCAGTCGTGTTTAATCACGCACTTTTATGAATTTTCTTTCCCTCGTCCCATTTCTATTGTAGCTTTCAGCATGTACATCGGAATGAGAGAAGCGAGGAAGTGCGTGTCAAGTTCTGGTTAATCCACTTCTTTGGCATAAATATCAGAAATATTTGCTGCGATTGACTCGAAAGACAATAAACTCCCAATACTAAGGTCATTCAATGACTACTTCGAAAAAGTGGTTCCGAGCAGTCATGCACAAAGCTCCAATCCCTTCAACGGCTTGAATTCGGTACATTGGTTGCAATACAGCAGGGCATGACTAAAAGTGCATGCCTGCATCTTGCTCTCTATGCAGCTGTAGTTCAATACTTAGTTAAGAAGCACCTATTGTTGGTTTCATTAATGTGATCTGTTCCAATTTGTATTCACAGCCGATAACTGCGAGTGCTCACCAGAGTGATTAGACAGGGGCCCAGTTTGTTTCCTCATCTGCCAATCTTATCATTACTATCAAGTCCTTGGTGTGACTTGGCGTCGAGCACATTGGGTTGCATTAGCTGTAGACGTTGTACCCACTGGCTGTAAAGCAACACATGAGAGAAGCAGCAAGATGGCAAGTTGGGCCAGTTGGATTACGTTCATAATTGAAAATTTTGTTGAAGCGCACTAAAAAACGGACGGGCAGATAAGACTGAAGAGGCAAGTGTTGTTCTTGTCATCCTCTTCTGTCCGTCCGTTTTTTAGTGCGTTTCAACGAAATTTTCAACATGAGAGAAAAACTCTTTTCATCATATTGGTAAATTGCTCATTCGAAATACCAAAACCACCGACCTTTCTGTGAAAAGATGCTCGTTTTAAACGATAAAATGGGCAAAAACTACTTGGGGGTGGCAATGCCATCCTGAAGTTCCCACGCAAAGTGCTGTTACTACATATATTTTGATGGCATCTGCTAGGTATTGCATAGTTTCTAATCGGTAACAAGGAAGTATGTTGTCCTCTGATGAGGCCAGAGGCTTAACATACCAAGTTTCAGGAAACTTCACGTAGCCCATGACACCAAATTATAGGAAATACTTGATGAAATTTGTGACGTCATGTGTGTAGCTTTTGGTGCGAAATTCCAGAATTGAACTTTCACTTTCATATTCTGCTCCCGTGATGGTGTAATTTATGTAAATAGAATCTGAGTGTAATTTATGAAAATAGAATCGTTCATTGCTTCTCTTAGGTGTCTAGGCACTTAACTTGTGGACCTTAGCCTTAGCTGGTAATTGCCAATAGCGGGAGTTTTAGGGTGGGAACCTTAGTGCGTTGCAGTTGAGGTACAAAATGTTCATTGACCAGTTTTCTTTTGCTGACATTAGATCAGCAGCGCACCGTGAATGAAGCTGTCTCTCAAGCACAAGGCCAACTTTCGTTTCAACTGCCTCAAAAAAAAAAAAAAAACCATAGCATTTTCTGCATTTAATGCTGCCATCACACATGTTAGGATGGAATGCGGTGACCTTGAATATTGTCAAAAGTATGACACTGCTGAAAATGCCCTCTCTTCTGCAACCGAATTAGGTTAAATTAACTAACATAGCCTATCATTCCTAGTCGCCCTGACAGATGTGTTATTTCTCTGTGTTCACGCGCACCTGCAGAGTGCTAACAAAATGGTTCATATTGGTTTCATAGCTGAGGTCGTTATTGCTAGCGCAGGACCTGCATATGTTGCACCTCTGAATCAAGTAGTCTGTGTTTCAAGAGTGAAACTTTGCACTTGTAGTATGCAACCGTTTCAGTTTACTGGAATTCGTGTTCGAGCTCTCACCTAGTTTTTGTGACAGTTAGAATGCTGTCCAAATTTTCTGTGCTCATAGCATTTCAGCCTTTGCTGAGTGTTCTTATTGTGCATATGTAATGCCCCCCCCCCCCCCCTTTTTTTTTTTATTTTGTCACAGACTTGGCAGTGGAGGCTTATTTGACAATTGTCTATAAGCAACAGGTGCTTGGACATTATTGTCTTGAAAGTCGGGCTGACAAAGTGACTTGCTTGCTATTCAGATACGTTAGTTCTATTAGTAGGTATTTTACCATACTGTTAACTACTCACATTTTTTAACATACTTTTTTTTAAATTTCTCTTATTTCTAGTTGCATACAAAAATGCCCATTCACTAATTTGCTCAAAGCCCCTTGCTACGTTTTAAAACTTGCACCATATAATTGTCCAATATTTGGGCATTATTTAGTTCTTGTTAGAACGAGATGTTTCAGAGATAAATATGTACCCATTACTTTTCATGAAGTAAGAACTTCGACTTGTGTCTTTTATTTTTCAAATTTTTTGTTGTAAGGGATTTAAAAATGGTATGCAGGACTTTAATGCATGAGAACATGGCTCAATATAATTCTCAGAAAGTGAATTGTATAGCTTTCTTACGTGAATGAAATGAACATTCTGTCATTTTTTTTCAATAGTAATTTAGATTTCGCACTTTTATGCAAATAATTTTTACAAGTTGTCGTGGGATTGACAGTAACAGTGGGCTACATCTGCTAGTCACATGACATCAAAATAGTATTTTTATGAGAGCTGCTCATGCTCTAAAAGCACTTCAGCCATATGGGGCATCCTCCTGTTTCTAAACAATAGCAGTGTTCTGGAATTCATAGGTTTTCTTTTTTATGTAGGCATGTGATGTGGTATCTGCCAGTACAATGTAAATTTTTTTCAGTTTTTTTTTTTTTTTTTGAACAGTTATGCTATATCTATTGTTGCAAAGTACTGCGAAATCTACAGCACGAATCCCTTTGAGTGTGTTGCAGATATCCTGTGGATATGTGTGAAACCGCTTTGCTTTTGTAACAATATGCAAAACGTTTTGTGCACGTGTTTAGCCTTTGCCATGCAGTTTACCAGTGTATCCTGCCCTTGATCAAGGAAGTGCTAAATTGGGAACGGCGCGCCACCAAACATAGTTCAATAAAAGAAATTCACATGCGATTACAATGCCACCGAATGCTAATTCATAGTGCAGCCGTGTTGAGGCAAAGACAACTTTGTTTGCAGTTGGCTGCCCACGAGGTATTGACTGCGTGGTAAAACATAATTTTTGTCAAGTAGGACAGCCCCCAATGCGCTATTATTCACCTTTCTGTAAATAAGTAAGGCGCCCGTTGCACATCTGTAAGGTAATATGTGCATTTTCTTGATGCTGCGTGAGGCTGGTGAGGATGAATTAGGGCTGAATATTTTGCGAGGCGGGTTTGGAAGCATTAAACCACACACATTGTGCAAGCAGCATTGTGTGGTTGCTAGTTGTTCTTTGACTCTTCTGCCATGCTAATTACATTGGATGATACGAATTCCTGGCCTCACATGATGCCACTATAGGCTCTTTTTGTGAACAAGTTTCAGGCACCACCATAGCTCTGTGGCAGAATACACTACTGCCATGCAGTGGGCCCTGATGCAATTCCCATTCGATCATGTTTAATTTTATTTTCTCATTATTAATTTTTTTATGTATGTCTGTTACACCACCAACTGCAATCCCACTCAAAGCAAGAATGGACGCCTAATAGTAGCTGCATTCTAAAATCTTACATGCTTTATTTTGTTCTTGAGCTTTGTATTACTATTGTACTTATTGGAATAGCTGCTGTAGTTGGGTAAATTTTCTTGATAGGCAGAACTACCACAGAAAGCTATTGCATATAAGTTTAGCAGGTGTATCTAATAAAAGTGTCCGCGCACATTTCTTTCAGGGTGTCGGCATGGCGGCAGCTCTTCACTGCTAGGAAAGTGACTGCTGGCAGTAGGCTAGAATCATCATGGAGACCAACCCATTTTTTCGAGGAATCCTTGGCCAGGCTCTTCCACGACCTCTCCTCAGGCCACCTCCCGAGCCAAGGTAGGCAGCATTTCTGGCCAATGCGGTTCAGAGTTGTTCTTAAAGGGGCCCTGCAACACTTTTTGAGCATGGTCAGAAAGCACTGCTATTCGGTAGTAGAGGCTCCCAACAACACGCGAGCCAAATATTATAGCACTGTACGCGGCCTGTAAATCACAATAAATTATCAAACTCAGCTAAAAATTGCTTTCTCTTCTCTCGACAAATAACGTTATATGCCCAAAAAGTGCACGTCAACGACCCATCTATCAGCCATTGGCCGATTTGAACATGGCACGCTCGCTCGTTACAGAGATTGCCGCAGGAGGCCGCTACTTGTCCAGGCGTTCGCGCGATCGCACTAAAAGAGTCATGCATTCGAAAAAAAAAGAAAGAAAAAAAGTGCTCAAGGTCGCAATGCGCACTTCGAGTTTTTCTGTGGCCCTGCCATCCTTCCTGGCTTAGTTTCTAGCGCTTTCGACGGGACTAGAGAAGAGAGAATGCAATTGCAGTATGCGACAAACCTTTGTAACTGCACTCGCACTGGATGCATTCTTAAAATTTTTGCGGCATTGAATTTGTGAGGCAATAAGCTCTTCCAGTGAATTCATTCCATTGTTGCTTAAAAAAGTGTTTCAGGGTCCCTTTAATAGAAAGTCACACGGTCTTCTTGTGTGTGATCCCTATGGGATCTTTAAAGGGACACTAAAGTCAAATTACAATTTCCATCAGAGTGAAAGCTCAGTGTATGACAACATCTAAAACGACAATATTATCAACAACAGTGCCCTACTTACCGAGAAATTGAGGTAAATGCACAAGAACACATGTGCCGCAGTAGGATATTCTCAAAATGATCCCGATGACATCAGACAGACCACATACAATTAATCACTAGTAATCAATCTAGCTGCACTAAATAAAGAACCTTTTGTGCTTCAAGAGATGACATGAAATGGTGCCTGTTCATTTCTGTTAGATTCACGGGCAAAAAAAAAAAAAAAAAACGCCGGATGGTACTATGAAAAATGGTGCAAGTGGTTTGAAAATTCAATTTTCGCGTAGTTACACTGGACAGGTGGTGCCATCTAGGGTCCCAAAAAACGCCTACAATCTTGAAGCCAATGGTGGGAAATCGATCAATGGCTGTTGTTGCTGCTGTGACTCCCGCTGCTTTTGGTGTGCTGCTACTAGCGCAGTAAAGCCGGGCAATGTTGTGCACGGCAAGTGACAGGAGTCTTTCCGGTTAGTTCGCTTCTTGAGGTGGGTAATTTGAAGTGCGCTAACGTGATGCAGACCACTAAAAATGTGATTTTATATCAAAATAGGCCCTTCCTTAGCACAAAAGTAACGCTACGAGGTTTCCGGACCGCTATTTTAACAATCAACGTCTGCTTAACAGTTGCATTTAGTGTCCCTTTAACATCTAATAATCACTGATTAAGGATCTGCAACCTTTTCAGACAGAGGGCTAAGTTGCATGAAGCCAACAGCTGGGGGATGCATGCCAAATTAGTTAGGAGCAGGGGTGCTACGCAAGCAACGAGAATTGTTTCTGCGTATTGGGAATAATGTACCCAAGTGGAATAGCAATCGTAATTATTTTCAGAGACCATATCGTGAAGTTGCAATGTACAAACATAGGTTACAAGCAAAAAAAAAAACCTAAAATTTCTTTAATTTGATTAGCTAATTCGCAAACATTAGTCATTAGTTAGTCGGGGACACAAGTTTATCTGGTGCACTTCATTCCCGAAAATCTGTTTGCAGGCTTGTGCGCTGCCGAACACTGCAGTCATGGCTGCTGCTTGTTTCTAAATGGAGTCTCGCATTCTCATAGTATATGTTTCTTGCATTTGCTGGAGAAGTGGATGCAGAAACGTTCAATTTACCACAACTAAATAAAACAAATTATATCAGTGAGTGTTCAGTCTTTCCTGCATCTTTCCTCTTATCCTCCTCCATTGGAGGAATGCATAGCCATCACACATGGTAGTTACACCAATTCAGTGTCCATGCTAAGAGATTGAAAGAGTTTTCGAATATTGTCAGAATACTGGCAGTCACGCAGCATTCCTTTCACTGACATAGAAGATTGTCCACATATAGCTCTTAGAGCATATGGACACTGTGGAAAAGCTTGTAGCAAGGGCTTGAGGAGTAGACCAGACACTAAAAGTTAACGGTTCTTTAATTCACTGGGCAATAAAAAAATAATTTAGTTGTCCGTCACTTTGTCCTTCAAAAGGGTGTCCTATAGTGCCAAAATTTTCGACCTGACAGGCCCTATCTTCTCATTGTTGTGCCTAAGCATTTGCAGCTCTGTGTCCTCATTCAACTTAACGGCGCACCCACAGCTGGACACCTTGGCGTATCTCGTAGGTACGAGCGCGTATGGTGCTGTTTCTTCTGACCAGGTCTTGCTCGCTCAGTACGCCGATACGTCGCCATGTGCGAGTTGTGTCAACGTCTTAAAACACCATCGCTACTACCCGCTGGCCATCTTAACCAATCAACATACCCGCAGAACCATTTTACCATGCTAGGTTAGACCTGCATAATTGTTTTCCCGCATTAACATTGGGAAACAAATGGATAGCCGCGACTACAAGTTACGCTGCGCTATTACGCGAGCTTTACTGACAAGCTGTGCAACTGACGTCGCTGACTTGACCGTGGCCGTACATTTTTAACCTAAGTCATCGCCCACATTCTGCGTTCTTGTTCCACGCAACACACACTGACCACAGCTTACCGCCCTCAAACCAACGCACTCATGGAACGTTTTAACTGTACTCTCACGAATATGCTCGCAATATATGTGTCGCCCGACCACCGAGACTGGGATCCTGCCTTACCCTACACAACTTTCGCATATAGTTTATTATGTCTCGACACAGCAGGCTTTTCACTATTCTACCTATTATATGGAACAGAGTCGAATTTATCACTGGACACAGTTATCTCGGCTCATACCTCGTCCACCAGTTAGTATGCCTGCGACATGTTCACGTGAGCCGATCATGCCCGTCAGCTCACCCAAACTCGGCTTACGCCGTCGCAGACCAACCAACGGCATCGGTACGATTTGGAACATCGAGGCATACATTTAGCACCCGCTGCCCTTGTGTTACTCTGGTCTCTTCATCATCAAGTTGGCCGATAAGAAAAACTTACACGGTCTCGTTACACGTGACTGTGTATTGCATCAAGTAACATGTGTCGCCTATGAGATCAGTCTCATCTGACCATCTTCATCTGTTATGCGCTCCAGTGATGTTGTTCACATTTTGCGGCTCAAGACAATACAAAAGTTCATCTGATAACCTCTAAATCTCCTGGGTGGTGTCTCTGCTGCCAGGGGTCATGCTAAGTACCAGTAGCATCGAGATAAAGAGCATGAAGAATTCAGACTGGCACGAGATAATCTGTGTTGCTGGTGCTGCTTGCTTGTCCAGCTGTACAGATATATCTGTCGACTCTTCCGAGTCTGTTTCTTTCTCGTAACAATATGAAAAGTCGGGAAAAGTAGAAAAGAGTAGCAGCATAATAGAGAATGTTATCGGAGCCATCCTTTTCATGTTCGCTCTAGTGATGTTATGCTTTTTCAATTAATTCTAGTTATTTCAAGCCTTCATCCTCTCCTGAAGATGTGTCAATTGGATTTCTAACATACGTGGTCCTTAAAAATTCACCCAGCCTTGAAAGTTCTAGAAAATTCTCGAATTTTGGTCATGTAAACGATCATGAACCCTGTTATTTAATGACCTCTGTTTTGCTTGTTGCATGTGGGCCTTATTCCTAAAGCATTTTACCCGGCAGTTGTTTGAAATAGCAGTTTGTATAAATTACTTCTAATTATGAGCACATTATGAGAACTGTAATGACCACGAAGTGTACTTTTCTATTGTGTATTCCTCATTGGAGAAATGGTAGGGGCCTTTTGAAACTTTTTGTAGATGACATGTTGCACAGTGTTTCCTCCTTGTATCGACAGCGAAGGGTTATCCTAATCGCCTGTGCCTGTGCTATGCAGAAGACGTCATGAACGACCTGAGCCTTCCATCGTTGCCTTGGACACAATGGAAGTGGAGGATCTTAGTATCAAGTGAGTGTGTGTAGCATGCTGTTCTACCACTTCTACTTGTGAATTTTGTGCAAACATTGCATGATTTCCTTTATCGGAACACAGAGTAGTGGATGGGTATGTGGTGGAGGGAGGCTTACTGCAGCCTGAATTGTGTTGTCATTGCCTTGTGACAAAAACATTGTTTACTGGATATTATCTCTGTGTGAATTACTATGCACTGTCGACAAATGCATTGATTTGGCATGCCATGATTCCTAGGCACCCAGAATTACGTTCTTTGAGAGAAATTGAAGCAATGCATTTTTGTGTAAGTTTCAGTAATTAATGTTAATTAGCATGCAATTAAATATTCAATTATTTCTATGTCAGTCAGCTTTAATTATTGCATAAAAAGCACCGAATATTAGGCCCAAGGCGCAGGCATAGGTTGTTTCTTGGTTGGAATTATATTGAGCAAAGAATAAATGTGACACATTGAACAATCATCGAGCATGGTAGTGACTCCAGCAAAATGATCATCTACAGCATGCATGATGAAGTTATAAAATAATAATATATCCGCGGTTTAATTTTCCAAAACCACATTATGATAAGAGAGACCGTAAATGGAGGGCTCCAGAAATCTTGGTCACCGGGGATTCTTTAACGTGCACCTAAATCTAAGTGCACGGGCCTCAAACATTTTCTCCTCCATCAAAAATGCAGCCGCCGCAGCCGAGAGTGATCCCGCGACCTTTTGGTTTACAGTTGAGTGTCATAACCACTAGACCGCCATGACAGGGCCGATGAAGTTATACGACTGTTAGTTGTCCGCTCAGTTGTGCACATTGAATTTCCAGCCATTTGAAGGAACACATATGGTGCGTGATGCGCCTCTGAAGTTTTTGTGTACAACTGTAAACGCAGTGCCTGAAGGGGCTGTAGCTCTTTTTTCCCCGGTGTGTCAATGAATGATAATGTGAGCCACTGTGTTATCCACTCAGGAAAGAGCCTGTGCCAGCAGTGGCTCCTGTGCCAGCAGCACCATTGCCGGAAGTGGTACGCAGTTCAGGAGGGAGGCGCAAGGCAGGCTTGGGCCCTCAGCGGCTCGGTCCCGACGACGTAATTGTGCTCTCGGACGAGGAGAATGGCCGCCTCAACGGCCATCGGCTTGTCAACGGGGCTACTGGTAGCAGTGGATGGCAGATGCAGCCTCCGCCACAACCGCCCCCGACACCACTTTCTCAGCAGGAGCTGGCTGCACGCAGGGCACTGGTGCGAAGCCTGCGCCAGGAGTTGCGCAATGAAGAGATGAAGTTGGTGCTGCTCAAAAAGGTTTGTGTGCTTCAAAGTAATCCGCTTTAAATGCAGTTTTTTGTCTGCTTGGTTGCTATCAATAGCAGCAGAAATGTGCTGAAACTGATTGCTGCAGAAATCTGCAGAAAACCGATTTTTAAGTAGCATTTCATTAGAAACGTGGATGTGCATTCCTAATTCTTGGCTGCTGTTTCGTCACCATTTTGAATTCTGGTTCATTACTGATGAAAGCCCTCCCCCTCCAAATCTTGTCGAATTGTCCTTCACTGCAGGGCGGTGGAAGGGGGCGCTTGCTCAGTATTTCGTGATGTTTCAATTCTTACGTAGCAGAAAAAAAAAAAATGCTTTTAAAGCATAGTTGCAGCACACTAGTTTCCACCATACTCATTAGTCGGGCTGCATTGTTTGTGCCTTAGGTGCGTCAGAGTCAACTCCTGCAAAGGCAGGAGCCAGCACGGCCTGCACAACCAGCAGCGCCACCCAACATGCCATCAGCCCGAGCGTCAACAGTGGTCCCAACGGCAGCACCTCCCCTGGCGCCCCCACCTCGAAGTGCCCCGACTGTGGTGGCCAATCCAGGCCAGAGCCTCGGTGCATCAGGCAAGATGGCACTGAGCAACCACCACCACCATCATCACCACCACCACCATCACCACCACCATCATCAGCAACAGCAGCAACACCACCATCAGCAGCCGCCACAGACACATCAGGGGTCCAATAGTCGAGCCACACCAGACCTGGTGGGCGTCAATGCCAGGGTGAGTCTGCACAGCAACACGGGTCATCAAACACCCAAAGCTAGCTTAGTCTGTCAGCCTTGAGCCAGCACTGATGTGTTCAGTCTTGTTTGTAGCCATGGCAGTTCTCAAAAGATGATTTTGTTGCAATACTAAATTTTTCTGCACTGAGCCATACCAAGACATGAAAAGGGCCTCTGTTTCGAGACACGATTATGCAACGAGAACCTGTCGTGCCTAGTCGACCTAGAATTGAAAGCAAGTTTCACTAATAAAGTCTTTCTTAAAATGATCTTCACGTATTCCCGCAAGGCGTTTTTCTTCTTTTTTTGTGAGATTTATGGGAGGTCGACCTATATTCAAATCTCGTTATAATGGTGTAAATACAGTAATTGTAAAGATGGGCGTTCAACCAGAATGGTGGGGGGCAGTACCAGTGCTTCCCACTGTGGGGAAAACCCTCTTTACTGCGTAACTGAACATGCATCAAGGGGTAGGATACTTTGTTGAAGGCAAGACTAGGAAAAGTGGTTGTGTGAGATGAGTCTGGTTGATGTAATACTATGGTTGCTCTGGATTCCTGGGAGAGACTATTGCTTCTGTATTGGACTTTAACGGGCTGCTATTTGCAGTGACGAAGGGAAATATTGTGGCCAATCTTTTTGTTGCAGCTTCGCAACCAGGGCCCATCCCCAAGCAGTGCACTTCAAGGAAGCCTTAGCTCAGGAACTGCTTTGCGAGCAGGTAGTAACAGCGCAAGGTAGTCTTGGACAGTTGCAGCAGAACGTGCTCAGATTGCCTGCCAATGCGGCCAGCGCAGCGGGCATCAACAACATGGCCGGTTCCCTGTCCCGAACATTGTCCCATGGCTCGCAGCACTTCAGTGGTAACCATGCCGCTCCAGGAGCTCACCAGGTTGGCAGCACAGCCAATCAGCCACCGCAGCCTCAGGTACATCAGGCATTATCTTGTGAACATTTCGAAGAAATGCTCGCGACTTGTAGATAACGCCACCTTGAACGTATAATCCAAATATTCTGCTTGATGCAATAGGAAATTGTACGGGGCTGTTCGCTCTTAGGTAACACTGCTCAGCGTGGGCATACTTTGCAGAAGTTTAGCATTTATATGGCTGCCTCGCTTTGATGCACGTCTATATGTTCATGAGTGAGTTGAGGTAAAGCTGGGATAACTCGCATGTGTTGAGCATGTCATCAGCTTTGCTCAAAAGGGTCTAAAATATTAATTCTTGTTTCATTACATACATTCTCAGTTATTATCATATGCTGATTTACTTTGTAACTCTCTGTGTAGGAAAATTCTTGCTCAAATGAAGGTTTTGGAGAAAAAAAGCATTGCAAGGCCCATCTAATGGGGTCGGCTACTGCAGGTGGTAAAGCAATTCATTCACATGGAAAAGTATTGCGGTGGGCTTGGCAGCAGCAGCAATTGGGATTCTTATGTGCAGGGAACGCCACCAGGCCTGTCTGCAGCTGACAACCAGAGCCCTGCTCAGCGCCAGGCCGCAGCCAAGTTGGCTTTACGCAAGCAGCTAGAAAAGACGTTGCTCCAGATTCCACCACCTAAGCCACCTCCGCCAGAGATGCACTTCGTGCCCAATGCCAGTAGTCCTGAGTTCGTGTACTTGCTTGGACTGGAGACTGTGGTGAGCTTCCTGACAGACGGGGAGGCAAGCTCACGCGCTGCACCTCCTGAGCCATTTGCGTGCAGTCAGTGCGGTCTGGACTTCACGCCCGTGTGGAAGTGGCAGGACACTCGGCGCGCCGGTCGGCCGTCAGTCATCTGCGAGGCCTGTGTCACCTCAAACCTGAAAAAGGCGCTCAAGGCGGAGCACACGCATCGTCTCAAGACCGCCTTTGTCAAGGCCCTACAACAGGAGCAGGAGATTGAGCAGCGACTTGCCAGTGGTGCAGCACCGTCACCTCCACCGTCGTCGACGCCTCCACCTGCCGCGCACTCGCCGCGACTAGGAACGGCGGCGGGCAGTGGCGGCTTCCTGCCCAAGCTGAGTGCCCAGCAACTGCTTCAGGCCCAGCAGCTGCAGCAGCTAGCATCACTGCCTGGGGCATCTCAGCACCAGGCCGCGAGTGGTACACCTCAGCCGGCCCACGTGCTGCCCTTTGGACCCCTCCTCGCTGCGTATTCTTACCAGATGCTGAGTGCTGCCGGTGCGGCAGGTGCGGCGGGAAAGCTACCACCCACGGCAGACCTGCATCGGCAGTACCTGCTAGACATGATCCCACCTCGTTCGATGGCTCAGGGCTCGCTCAACTGGAAGACGTGATGACACAGCCTGTCCAGCTAATGAGTGATGTCCATTTTCTTCTGGAGGCACCTCTGGAGCACGTCAGCGACAGTCTCTCTTTCTCTCCCTAAGGTACTGGCTATATTATTGGGTGGGTGGAGGTGGTGTGGCTGCGGTGATCAAGAGGTGCATCGGTTAGTGCTGCGGTTGTGCCCAGTGTGTAGTCCTGTCTGCCCTGATGGTGGCCCACAGTGCTGACTGTATTTGAATAAAATAACTCGGGCGTGACAGCCCCCTCCCGTGTGTGGTGGAGATGATGCTTTTCACACACGTTCTTCGTAAAGACTGTGGCAAGAACGACTTTTGCATATTTCTCAGTGCAAATGTGCACGTGTTGAGGACATTATTGCCTGATTTCTTATTGTCTGTAAAGGCAGTATTTAAGCTCTCTAAGTTCTTTACTTCCCCTTCTCTGCCAACCTTTTCTCTCTCCACATTTCTTTCCCATATGTGTGCGAGTATATATATGTGTGTGTGTGTGTGTGTGTGGCACGCGTGTGCATTGCAGTCTTCGTGTCCGCACTAGCAGTGATGGGAATCTACAGTGCTGCGGGTGCCGCTTTGTTTTTGTTGTCACCACGCAAAATACCCGGAGTTGGGGCTGTGGAAACCAGTTAGCCTGGGACTAAGGATTTTGTAAACGGAGATTCTGGATAACAGCTTCAATAAAGGGTGATCCAGTGGAGGGAAGCCCTCCGAAACCTCTTGTGTTGTATTCCTTCCAACTTTGCCAGCATCTAGTAAACAATTCAGGACTGAGTGAAATTAAAGGTGCTGTGCATCTTGACCAATAATGTTGGCTGTTACATAAAGTTGTGCCATAGCATTTGCATGGCATCTTGGAGAAGACCAAGGCACTTGTATCCACATTTTGAAATATTACCATAGTGTTTGATATTGTATGCTCTGGCTACAGCACGCAAAAATTTAGAAAGAGATCATTGCTTTCTCTCGTGATAAATGATCTTTTTACTGAATTAATGCAGAAAGGATTTTGGAGCACTCTGAAGCCTCCTTTAGTATTTTTTATTTACTAGCTTCCGTTTATCTGAGCTGTATTGTTGCTTTTGCATGCCACTGTGACCTTACAATATGGAGGCTTTTTATTTGTTGGCTAACGCATAGGCATCTTCATTCTTTTGTGAGCAGTTATAGGGTTTGCATGCATTAGTCAGTGCTCAATAAATGCTCTGACGCTAGGCATATACTTGATTTGCCTAAACTCGCTCTGAAGTTGTAGCCTCCCGTCAAGTGTAGCTTTGTTGCAATGATTGCTTGTCCGCAATAATAATAAATTTCTTGTAATGTTCACTAATAACAATTTTCATATTGCCCACTCATAAAAGTGCACCATAAAATTACCTTTTATTTCTTCTAAGCTTCATTGCAAACTTTTGAAACCTTTTTGTAGTCTCGTAAATACCAAAAACCACTGACCAACGCATACGCTGTTTCACCATGACTGCGATAAAGGTGGAATTCATTCGGCACTCGCCTTGTGAGAAGAGCCATTACAAAACATAAGCACCGTCAAAAACATCTGAGCTGGCTGGCACACTGGAGAGTAGTGATATGAAACTGCCACCTTTGCTTTTCGTTATGTGGATGGTATATTTAACACAATTGTAGCTGGTGCTTTAATTGTCTGTTTTGGCCTAGTGGCATGAAACATCCTGTGTTTATTTTTGGTGCTCCTTTGAAATTCAAGCCATTTTAAATCTTAATACTGTGATTAGTGTTGGCAGCTATTTAAAGAAGCTGCACAATATTATGTCAGTATCCATTCAAATTTGTTGGCTATAGAGGTGCATGCTTCTTAACACTTGAGTACAAAATGTTATTTGTGCTCCTGTTGCTGTTCACAACAAAGGCAGTGGTTTCTCACTCACTTAGGTCTTGTTTGTTTAGAACTGGTGCACTGCCAGTGTAGCTGGTATTAACAAAATTAATAACACTTTGTTTTACTGTTGACAAGTATACTCAACAGAATCAGCAGCAGTATATCTAACGAGCAATTTAGAGTAATAGTACACAAAATCAATTTTTTTTTACTTCAGAGTGCGTTTATAAGGAACGAGGCTTTTGTGTGTTTGGTATCTATAAAAACTTAATTCAATTTTGATAGTATCCAAAAACGTGCTCACAACTCGGGGACCAGTCATGATGAGGACTGAAAATAGTGCTAAGAAACGGGGACACAAGAAAAGGACACAGGTGCCGTGTCCTGTGCACTATTTTCAGCCATCACAATGCACCAACAGGCCCAAATTTCGACAGTGCAGCCAAAATAGTTTGCATATTTTTAATCGAGACTGGCTAGCATAACATATTTGATCTGGTTCTTGCGTTTACGGGTACGTTGTAGGCCCTAAACCTCCCATGTATCTTAAGGCTTCTTGAGAATCCATTTTCTCTGAAACTACTATTTGTAAAGCATTTGGGTTCGTTTCATTTTATTCATTGGCGTCTCTTCTTGCTATGGAACTGGAATTACCAATGAACTTAAACATTCTACTTTTTTTTTTTTTAGCCAGCCTCGTCGCGGTGGTCTAGTAGCTAAGGTACTCATCTGCTGACCCGCAGGTCACGGGTTCGTATCCTGGCTGCGGCGGCTACATTTCTGATGGAGGCGGAAATGTTGTAGTCCTGTGTGCTCAGATTTGGGTGCACGTTAAAGAACCCCAGGTGGTCCAAATTTCCGGAGCCCTCCACTACGGCGTCTCTTATATTCATGTGGTGGTTTTGGGACATTAAACCCCACATATCCATCAATCAATCTAATCGATTTTTTATGCCAAGCAAGCAAATTTTGTCGCTATATTTTATGAAAAACTGCCCACAAAATGAAAACTATTCTGCACATAGTCACATTTCTAGTTCCTTAGATGCGTATTGATGTTTGGTTTACTCTAGTAAAAAAAATCGGTATTCAGTTTTTCAAGTTATTTTGATAATGGGACAAATGTAACAAAGAAAAAATTGATTACAAGATATTAAACAAGTGAAACAAGTTTACTTCATTGTTTTCTCAAAAAGGAGCTGTACTGAGTAATTTAATTAATAGCAATGTATCCTATAGTCGTCATATGGATCGGCTTTTCACTTTTCTTGGTTCTCTAGCTTCATCCCGTCACGGTGGTTGGGTGGCGAAGGTACTCGGCTGCTGATCCCGGCTGCATTTTGAATGGAGAATAAAATGCTGTAAGCCCATGTGCTCAGATTTAAGTGCATGTTGAAGAGCTCCAGGTGGTCGACATTATCGGAGGCCTCCACTACGGCGTTTCTCGTAATCAAATGGTGGTTTTGGGACGTTAAACCCTACATATCAATTAACTGGCTTCAATGGCAGTGGTTCTTACCCAACTGTATAACACTTTGTATCTCACCGATATGCCAAACAGCATTGAGAATTCTTACTAAAGCCATGCAGGCCTTTTCTGAAAGTTGGAACTGTTTCAAGTGGCAGTTTTAAGAGTCTCTATTCCAAGAGGCGCAATCTATTGTGTTCTCGTGAGTGCCACGGTTCTACCGCATTTTGTGCACAGTTACTTGTAATCATGGTTTCTAGAAGATTCACATCGATCAAAGCATAGGCATTGCCATGACAGGTATAATATTTTGCCCTTGTGGTAATGCCCCATGATAACAAAGCTTGCTTGCTGAAGCGTGTCTTATAGGTGACTTGCACGTGACCTCATGGACGCAGCTGCTGAAAGGAACTGGTACTCGACAAGAGAAACAAGTTGTGTTCATGTGAAAACGGCTCTGTGGAAAGGTCTCTGTGCGTGGATAATTGAATAACCTTCATATGATGCTTTGACAACATTAATGTGACACGAGAAACCTTAGTTAGTTCCCCATATGGTGGTGCTCCAACATCGCAGTGTCAGTGCTAGCTGTCTATACTGCGCTTTCTAAACAGCAGCTTTGATTCAGGAATATGAGAATATCTTTTGACATCGAAACAAAGCCAGCCAAGGTGCTACTTAACTGAAAATACGTGCACATAACTGTGTCATGTGTCACACACACAAAGCAAGTGGACTCCGTAAATGTCACGTCTGTTAAAAAAGAAAATGTAGCATTTTTCTTTCCAGTAGCCGGAACACTTTTATAACGACCTACTGAGCTCAGGGAAACTAGCAGTCTCTATGTTTTTAAAAATTCAGCTGAGGCAGAAAGCTCTGGCTGTCCACCTCCAAGTACAAGGCGCTTGGATGCTCATCAGTTGGTATCATAAACCTAACATTTTTGGCTGAATCAAAGATACGAAAATGTGTGGGGCACTCTATATTATTAAGCATGGTTTTATCATTTAAACAAGCAATTTAACCATGTTTAGCTTTTTCTTTTCCTTTTTAAAAATTCTGCTCTACTCTGTGCTCTTGGGCATTGTTAAAGCATAATGGTAAAACTCGCGCCTCTTGGGAAGCAAGGTTGTGCAAAATAACTGGAAGGAAGCTTTGCTGGGTGAATTTTTGATAATTGTGGTGTGCCTCATGTGAGCAAGGCAAATTGGTCAAAACTACACAGAAGTCATAATTTTACCAACTGTAGTTGTGGGGGTTTGCAGGTGATTCAATGGTTTATTACAGTTGGAACTGAGCTGTTGTATATATATTTGTTTACTGCACTTGGTTATATTGCAATGGAAAATGAAAATGTATCGATGGCTTGCAAGTTATTCTGTAGGTGGGACTTCTCACTACAAACACACCTGACGGTGGCAACATTCTCGTAATTACTTAATGCGTAAAGGAAGATAAGGAGGGTGCAAAAATTTAGTTGATTATCATATGTTGGAAACTAAATATTTGTTATGAAGTGCCAAATGTAGCATAAGCTCGCATTTCACTCGGGCCTTGGAATGCACAGATACCAAAGGGCCATTGCAAGAGATATACAGCTGTTGTGGTGAAGCTATAGCGACAAATGCAGCAACTTTAGTTTCCCCTCATAGTATAGCAGCTCAGACAAGAAAGTCGTATGCAAGCACAGTGTATTTTCTGCACACCTTCATAATGTATACTGAAAGATCAGCCTTCAAAATGCGTACACGGAAGCGAGACATGACAAGCTACCACTGAATTTTGCTGCAGAACACCTGTTTTAAACTGCTTGTTTTGTCAGGATGAGCTATGCAATCGCAGTATAGTAGTGGTAAACTTTATTGATAGTGATGGAACTCTTATATTGTCCTGGCGGAAGGTACCCAAGAGTCTAGGGATTCCATGACCTCTACCGTAAGGGTGCGCAGGGTTGGTGGGGGAACTAGGGAAGGGGAGAGCCATAGTTCTCTGCCACCTCCAGTTGATTAAGGCCAAAAGAAAAGATGCTTGACAGGGGGGGGGGGGGGACAAGCTACCACTGAATTTTGCTGCAGAACACCTGTTTTAAACTGCTTGTTTTGTCAGGATGAGCTATGCAATCGCAGTATAGTAGTGGTAAACTTTATTGATAGTGATGGAACTCATATATTGTCCTGGCGGAAGGTACCCAAGAGTCTAGGGATTCCATGACCTCTACCGTAAGGGTGCGCAGGGTTGGTGGGGGAACTAGGGAAGGGGAGAGCCATAGTTCTCTGCCACCTCCAGTTGATTAAGGCCAAAAGAAAAGATGCTTGACAGGGGGGGGGGGGGGGGGGGAACAAAACAAAAACGATTACTTTTTTTTTTTTTCATGGAGCCAAACTGGGAAGTGAAGAG